CGGGATTAGGCTCGGCAATGCCGGAGATGTCAGTAGCGAATATAGATTTGCGCTTGTGCGGATTCGAATCCGGCAGATGGAGTTATTATCCTGTTGATGACGGTAGCTTACCTTATCGAAGTGCGTCATGCATTAAAGAATTCACATCGACTTAATAACTGCTGCTTCGAATCATGAACAGGAAAGCGAGGACCATTAACTTATGTCCAAACAGGCAACTAATCGATACCTCTTTCCAATCCTGTTTACAGATATTGAGTTTATTCTATAATACTCATTATTAAAACTTATTATTCCTAGAAATTGATGCTGCTAAGAGCAGGACAGAGAACACTAGGATGTGAAAAAAGAATATTTAACGCTTTGCCGCACTTTTCAGCCATGCTGAACACTTTCATTTAAAATATGTGTATGTTGGCATCCAGAGAAGTAATACGTTTACATCCATATGGGAATGAAACTGATTTGCCGCTTCGTGCAACTCGGTAATTGGGTAGATTCACTGCGTTTATCGTTTGGCCTACAATTAAAACTAAGACTCCGCAGTGTGTAGTTCTGTAATTCAGGGTTATGGTTTTGGACTGACTAACAATGGGTCATTCCAGACTAGTCCATTCAGATACTGAAGAATTTTCGCTCAGAAGTTGCACATACATGTTTGAATCAAGAAAAGCTAGTACTGACGAAATGTGCAGTGAGGGTATCGCAGAAAATTATTTCAGATCTTATATGCTTGTTCTACGAAACAATAATTTGAATATATAATCAGTATTATTCATAAGGTATTAGTTTCCAACATTTTATTCGTAGTTTATAACATTTTTGAAATCACCGTATTCTTCAGGCGGCGCAGTAGAGTCATGGCAATCGCGCCAATAAATGGCACTTGAAAAAATGCCAATCTCATAAACGACCCTGTATTTTGGATATCATCCAGTGAGTTTACTTGAAGGTCACAGATGTGCCGTCTATTTCGACCATCGTTTATTAACAGATCGTGCCGCTGATCACAATCGTCCAGACATTAGTCTTGGATCGCAAGAACAAGATATTTGATATTACAAAAGTTGTGTTTGCATTGTACGAAAATGTAATGCAAATTTGGATGGGAAATATCATAAAATACCAAACCTTTGAAGCAAGTACATTTGTTGAAGACTCCATGAACAACTTCGATGGTCACCTGTACTAAAGGCTTCATTCCGAAATCGATTCCGATCGGCTTGGATCATCTGCAGCTCACAGAAAGACCAGCTGCCTTGGATACAGCCAGAAATATGTGCAAACTCTTTCACTCGAGTTTTGGCAAAATATCCTGTGCGTGAGAAACCATGAAATAAAAGTAACTTTAGAACTGCATGGAATAAACTCAATATTTATAAACAGCAGAAGCAGCAGATTTTGGCCTAGACTCAGAGCAGATCTATTTAGATTCATCTCGATTGATCTGCCCACATCCGCTGATCATCGCTGTCCTGTCTCCTGTTGGAGACTTTGCACCTCACCGATGAATTTTACTTCATTGTCTGACTCTGTTTCAGAACATCGTTCATGAACGTGAAATCATGATTGGAAACAGCATCAGGCTTTGCCGCATCATTTACCTGCGCCAAGAATAGCTGATCAGACGGAAGGATTGAGCGATGATCGGAAGGCCCGAACACATAGTCGAGATTTCACCTGAGGATTTAAAAGTGCGTTTGGCTTAAGAAAGGATTACGGTGGTAACGGAAAAGGTACTCTATTCAAAGAGTCATTCAGTGAAGTACAGTTGCCAAGTTTTATTTACATGACATTTAACCAGCAGGCGACTTCGGTCTTCGACCAACGAACAAGGCATCCATGTCCGTTGTTAGGCAGCAGGCACAGCAAACCACTACATCGACTGCTGATGCGAGCAGGTGGATGTAGCGATAAACTTTGCCTAGGTGGAGGCGAGACCTCGTCGTTTTCTTCGATTGATCAAGTGCCTGCGAAAAAACGGACAATGCAAGATTGACGAGACACTGGCGAGTGACGAATGACGAGAAAAATCCGGTCAGATCACTCAGTAACAGTTGCAAGTGCAACTGCCATGAGGACGTGACAATGGAGACCAAAACCGAGCGATACTCGTGAGGTATGCCAACCGCTACCTCACGGAACATTGGGCATAGCAACGTTGCGTGCAGCTGATGTCTGATCGAATCTGCTCGGAAAAGGTGTATCATTAATCTCCGTTCGTAAGGAATAGAAGCTCTGTTTCGACTCTCTTAAACAAGTTCGTAAATCCAATCAATGCTCTAGCAGATATTAAATAATTTCTTCACTGACGACCGCCTAAGTGTCGAATAGTGTTCTTTGTGCGTTTCAGCTTTTCATTGAGGAAAACGTGCAGTTCGTTCCTCTCTCATTATTCAACAGCGCAGATTATGGCGCTTTCTAAAGAGCAAGTGGCATCAGACCCGCGTTTTTGTGTTAGATACCTAAAAGACTTATTAAAGGTGCAGAGTAACAGAAGGCTGGCGTAATTCCACGATTTGCAAGGAAGCGAATTTCGGCTGGTCAGCCGTTAACGCAAAGCCGAAACTCGGCTGATCAAACAAAGACCGGTAGCCTGCGCATCACATTGTAGAGGAAACCAATGTGAGGTTTATCTGACTGAGGGGACAACTCCTAATGTCAAAATGCGAAATGCTGAGATAATCCGACATCACGGTTTTGCAAAGCTGCCACAGCTGATGAATGCGAAATAACAACGAATACAACACTTGTTCCATTGACAGCATTCCACAAATGGCGGTAGTTGCCAAAACTTTGAATTTATCTTACGGCTGAGGATCTATACAATTTTATAGACTTCGTAAAATATGAGCCATTTATTGCTCGAATGACATCGTTGATAAAGCCTACTCGATGTGCTTACTAGTACTCGTCAGAGGTGGTCCTTCCTCAACTTTTCAAATGACCAAACACTGCTGTTCTCCGGCGGTAATTACGTCACTGATGCAGACTAGCCGGATGATATCGGTGCCAATTGCATATACATGAAACCATACCACTTGATAGCACAGATTCTTTACGCTTTGTGTGAAAGGTCTCAACGTTGCTGATCGACCCATTCTACAGGGTTCCATGTAAGAGCATCCGAAGAGTAAAGAACATCGCGTATAGACTGAATTTAGTTGCACTGCAACAGAGCGTTCGATGACAGGCGAGGGACAGAGTGTCAATGATCTTGGCTGCGAGACTGACTGACCGTGACGTCTGCCATTTCAGCTTCGCTACCAGTTCTTAAAACTCGCTTGTAGACTCAACATTCATTTAGTCGA